CTTTTTTTATATCCCCCTCTTCGTAAGGGTCCGTGGCACCAAATGTAAAAATTTATTTCCTAAAAAGGGACCTTATTTTTACCTTCCTATTTAATTAAATAGGGAAAAATTTATTATTGACAAAAATACAAACAAATCTTTATCTTCAATCAAACGAATATTCACACAGAATATTATAAAATGAATATCGAAAAAAGATATTGAAAAAGTGAAATTTTTGCCCACTTTTTATAGGCAAAAATTTCAATAATAAAAATGATGCAATAAAAATATATTGCAAAAAAAAAATACATAAAATTTGACAAAAATGGAAATTGACTCATTGAGTCACTAAAAAATAAACAAAAGTCCATAAAAAATATAAAAATTATCAAAAAAATATTTAAATTCTTTAAATCCTCATTTTCGTCATCGACATCTGTCTCAAAAGTCGGAACTCTGAACTCGGAAATCAAAATTTTTGTCGGAAATCGGAAGGAAAAAAACGTCGGAAATCGGTGAAAGTTATGAGAAAGTTGGCTAGTGATAATGATGATAATTATCTTCCTGAGTCGATGGATAGAATAAAAAAATTAATGAATTTTCTGATACACTCTCTTAGAAATCCTACTAAATTTAACTTAAATATTTTTAGGGACAACTTTGGAGAGTAATTTTAACTTATGTTAGCTTTGATGCTTTTGCTAGTGAATATTATATAGGATTTCCCACTACTTGTCTTTATACGATTGGATTTAGCAGTAATTTACCCGTTCTTGTTATTTTTAGGTTAAATTAAATTTTTCCTTTCCCCAAAAATTTTTTTAAAATTTATAGCACAGAATACAATACAGCGTTCTATAAGCATCTTGGCTGGCTATTTTGTATCAAACCTGTACAACTAAGTTCAGTTGTAGTTCCTATGGTAAGAAGATTGGATCAAGTTGAACCCACAAAAAGAGGGGATACTAATAATGTTGGGACTCATTCTAATGTTACTAATACTCAATCAAGAACTTGATTGAAATATCATTTTTTAGATTATAATTTGTCCTTTATCCCAAATTTTAAATTTTTTTAATTTTCTGTAAATAGCCTGAGGGCAAATACATAAAAACCTGTTCATTTACTTCATATAAAATTTTAAATTTAACCTATTTATATTAAGTTACATTTATAGTTAAAAGCTAAATGCTTTTTATGCGGATATGCATTCAAGTAAGAAGCCTAAAAATGTGTTTTCACGTTGCTATGATCACTTTAGAAACCGGTTCTTAATTTTCTGTGTATATATGGACAAAGTATTTCGGCCAGATTTTTTAAAGAGTTTTTCGACTTTTAAAAATATTAAACTGAACAGAAATATTATTGAGACATTTTACAGTTTACATATTTGAAAGTATAATCCAACATTATAAACGTTTTTATTAAAAGGTTATATGAATTTTAATAAATGCGTGCGCAATGTACTTTTTTAATTAAATATTTATTAAATTTAAATATTTAATAAATCACAAGTTTTTTTCTTGTTTTTGTGTACTTTAGTAATGTTGCTACTGGAAGTAACTGCAAGTATGTACTTAGAGGTGAAGCAAAAAAAAATTTTTTTTTCGTGACTTAAAAAATTTTAAACAAAAAATATTAATTAAACATTGCACAGTATCATAACTAACCACAATTTAAATTTTATAATTTTTGTTATTTTAATTAAAATGTTGTATGAATTTTTAATAAATGAGTGCAATGCACTTTAAGAAAGTGAAAAAAAGTGTAAAGAAAAAATAAAATATTTATAAATTTTAAATAATAAATCACAATTTAATAGGGTGTATAACGCTTTTTCTTATTTGTGTTTACGTTATTACTGTTGCTACCGAAAGCAGCTGCAAGTACCATGGTATCTGTTGGCAGGGAGACACTGGAAAAAAATAATAAAAGAAAATAAAAATCAGAATTTGTAAATTTTAAAAATCAGAATTTGTAAATTTTAGAAATCAGAATTTGTAATTTCTAAAAATCGGAATTTGTAATCTTCTTAAAATTCTGATTTTATTTTTAGCAGAAAATACAAATTCTGAAATCGGAATAATGTTAATATTTTGTGTTTTCTTTTTGCAAAAATCAGAATTTGTAATTTTTAAAAATCAGAATTTTTAATTTTTAAAAATCAGAATTTGTAATTTTTATAAGTCAGAATTTGTAATTTTAAAAAATCAGAATTTGTAATTTTAAAAAATCAGAATTTGTAATTTTAAAAAATCAGAATTTGTAATTTTTAAAAGTCAGAATTTGTAATTTTAAAAAATCAGAATTTTTAATTTTTAAAAATCAGAATTTGTAATTTTTATAAGTCAGAATTTGTAATTTTAAAAAATCAGAATTTGTAATTTTTATAAATCAGAATTTGTAATTTTAAAAAATCAGAATTTGTAATTTTTAGAAATCAGAATTTGTAATTTTAAAAAATCAGAATTGTAATTTTTAAAAGTCAGAATTTGTAATTTTAAAAAATCAGAATTTGTAATTTTTAGAAATCAGAATTTGTAATTTTAAAAAATCAGAATTTGTAATTTTTAAAAGTCAGAATTTGTAATTTTTAAAAATCAGAATTTTTAATTTTTAAAAATCAGAATTTGTAATTTTTATAAGTCAGAATTTCTAATTTTAAAAAATCAGAATTTGTAATTTTTAGAAATCAGAATTTGTAATTTTAAAAAATCAGAATTTGTAATTTTTAAAAGTCAGAATTTGTAATTTTAAAAAATCAGAATTTGTAATTTTAAAAAATCAGAATTTGTAATTTTTAAAAGTCAGAATTTGTAATTTTAAAAAATCAGAATTTGTAATTTTTAGAAATCAGAATTTGTAATTTTAAAAAATCAGAATTTGTAATTTTTAAAAGTCAGAATTTGTAATTTTAAAAAATCAGAATTTGTAATTTTTAGAAATCAGAATTTGTAATTTTAAAAAATCAGAATTTGTAATTTTTAAAAGTCAGAATTTGTAATTTTAAAAAATCAGAATTTTTAATTTTTAAAAATCAGAATTTGTAATTTTAAAAAATCAGAATTTTTAAAAGTCAGAATTTGTAATTTTAAAAAATCAGAATTTGTAATTTTAAAAAATCAGAATTTGTAATTTTAAAAAATCAGAATTTGTAATTTTAAAAAATCAGAATTTGTAATTTTTAAAAGTCAGAATTTGTAATTTTAAAAAATCAGAATTTGTAATTTAGAAAATCAGAATTTATAATTTAAAAAAATCAGAATTTGCTATTTTTAAAAATCAGAATTTTTAATTTTTAAAAATCAGAATTTGTAATTTTTAGAAATCAGAATTTGTATTTTTAAAAATCAGAATTTTCTGTATTTTCCAACCTAGCTGTAGTAGTAGGAGTGATTGAAGTATTCAAAGTCTCGTTGGTAGTTTGTAGTTGTGATTGTTGCTGTTGTTGATAGAGCAATAAATTATTCAAGTGTTGTTGTTGAAGCAGCATTTGTTGTTGATGTTGAAGGTTAATTGTAGAAGGGTCTGATAAGAGAGATTGTTGTTTCTGAAAAATTCTGGTTTTTTGGTAATAAAATCAAAAATTAATAAGTGAAAAATATCAGAAAAAAAAATCAGAATTTTCTCCCGAATCAGAATTTGTGATCAGAATTTTTTCTCAGAAAAATCAGAATTTCGTCTTAAAAATCAGAATTTTTTCTCTGAAAAATCAGAAATTTGTCCATAAAATCGTAATTTTGTCTTTTTGAAAAATCCAGAATTTAATTTTCAGAACCTGTAATAAAGAAGCATAGTCAACAGACGTGCCTTGCTGTGCTAATAATGCAGCAATAACAGGGTCAAATCCAGGAATTGCACTAGTTGAACTTTGTGTCTCGACATGTTGCAAGTTTGGAATATTGCTTGGAATAATTGTTGGGTTTAAAGTTGAAGCCAAAAAGGCCGCTTAAAATTTAATCAGAAAAATCTTTTAATTAAAAAAATTCAAAAAAAATTTTTTGAACAGATGAGGGATGACTTTAAAAATTGTTAAAAAAGCATGAAAAAGTAAAGGGTAAAACACCACAAAATTAAAATTTAGGGCTTAATAGAATAAATAATACACTAGGACCTCACTTTAAAATTTCAAAAGGAATTGAGTGGGTGAAAATACACCCTATTATGAGAAAAAAATTTTTAAGCCCAAGAGGTGTAATGTAGATGGACATTGAATCAACAGTTTTGTAGGAAGAATTGTAGGAAGAATTCATTATAATGAGGTCTTACTGTATTATATAGGTTATTCAAATCACCTGTTTGTTGTGGATAAGTATTTAAATTTGAAGAGGACGATACTGGCAAAAACCGAGAAAGTTGTTGATTGTTTAGAAGAGCAATTTGCTTTAAATTTAGGAGGGAAAAACAAAAAATAAATTTTAAATTTAAAGGAAATAAAATATTAATATCATACTATTCTAAAGCTTGATAGCCAAAAAAGAGATTAAAAGCAAAAAATAGATAGCATTATGGAAAAAAACAGAAAATAAAAAAAATATTTTTCTTGGAGAATTTTTTGGAAAAATTAAGATAATATAGTTGGACTTCGATTTTACGTACACCTCGCTTCTATGGAAAAAAATCCTTAAAGCTGGTTAGCCAATGGGTAAAGAGGAGGTCTGATTGTAATAAGGAATTAATTTAATTAGTTATAGTAGTAATAATTAGAATTAATTAAATTATAAATGGGTAGGTGACTTTGGAAATTTTTTTGGAAAAATGATCTGAATTCCTAAGGTTAGGTCTAAGATAAAATAATTTATTGTAAAATAAATTATACAAATTTTTAAAAAAAAATATTAAATTAGGGTAGGTCAGTATAGCGATTCCTACCCAAATGAGTATATTGGAACTTGAGAATTAATTTCCGGAAAAGAATTAGAAATAATCCAATCCAGAAAAGGACCCATTCCTGAAAAAAGGTACCATCCCCTAAATAAATATTTGCAGCTTAAAACAAAAATATCTAACGATAGAAATCACACACTCAAAAAAACTACCTCTTGAAGTGATTGAGGGATTAATAATGGAATATTATTCGAAATAATATTTCTTTGTGTTTGTTGTTGTTGTAATTGTTGTAATAATAATTGTTGTTGCCACAAGGAAGGGGGTAATCCTCCAATAAATGGAAGGGTTGGTTGTTGACTAGATTGTTGCTGAGGTGCCCCTCCAAATAATAATTTCCCTCCTCCTCCAGAAGCTACAACGGAAGCCAATACCGAAGTTGAAGGTGTTAATATATTTGTTAAGGTACCCAAAGGTTTGTATTGAATTGTGGGACCTTTGGCTGGGGAATCGAGCAAAATGTGACAGACATGCTTCATACAGCCTATTAACGCTTCACTGTTACCACCTTAAAATTAAATAAAAGTCTGGTTTTTTCAATTTTTCCCTAGATTCCCCTATTTTTCTTTCAAAGGGCTCATAATGGTCAGACTAAGGATTTTGTGTTTTTTTAGAATTGTCTCTCAGACCCCGATCTACGACAGTCCCTTCGCCACCTCGTTACCCGAAAAGGTTCCCCTTTTAATTATCTCCAGGATCGTTTCCTTTCGACTTTAAAAGGCTCATAATGGTCAGACTAATGATTTTGTGTTTTCATTTGAAATAGTCTCTCCGACACCGATCCTCGACAGTCCTTTCATCGCCTCCTTGTTCTCTCAAAGAGATCTCTCTGACGGGTCGGGAAGAAACCCTATAGAGTAGCCTAGGTAATTTAAGAGAAATATAGAAAATAATTTACTTATGGTAACTGGTTTTTCTGTAGAATTGCTAAGCATTTCGTTTGCTACTTGAAGAGAAGCACCAGTTTTCTTTTTAAATTAAAATAAATTTTTAATAAATTTAATTTCTTACATCACGTATTTCTCTTATTTTTGAACCGCCTTTTCCAATTAATGAACCGCATTGTGAAGCTGGTATCTTTAAACAGAAGAATTGCGAAAAATAAAAATTTAAAATTTTATTTTGTTGTCCATGTTTTGGATTTGGAGTATAAGACTTGGGATAATCTGTGACATCCCTGTCCTTCCAACTTCAGGATTTACTAAGCTATAGTTGATTTTTAGATGGCATAAGGGACTACACTGAAGCATACTTTATCAACTGTATGGTATCAACCCCGAGTTTCTTGTTAAGTGTAAGTCTCAGATCGGTATCGGATCTTGAATACAGAATTTCGAATAATATGTGACATCTTCAGCCTTGATGCCTCAGGAATTACAAGTAAGCTATACCCGAATGCCTCACCATTTGGGATGTGCCTCGTGTTTAACTGGCACTGTTTAGGTTCTATAAAGGTACACGCTAAATCAGACTTCACCAACTCGTCAGGTATCGAGCCTGAGTTTTCCGTTAAGTAAAAGTCGGGTGGAGTGTTAGCTACATGCTACAATAGTAAAAATTTAAAAATAAAAATTTACAATTAGCCTAAGTGTAATGGGTGGCTTTATAGCTCCAACTTGTGTTGAGGGAATATCCTTTTAAAATATTAGTAAAAAAATAATTTAATCAGAAAACTTCTTCAAATTTTCTAACAATCAAAGTGAAGGCTTGATCAACGGCAGCAAAAGTACCCGAAATTGTTACAATTCTGATGGATAATTAAATAAAATTTAATTAATTAAAATCACCTTTCTGGACAAGACCCATCTGTAATATTAATTTTAGCACCACTATTTTCTCTAATTTGTCTAATAAAATCGCCCTTCTTTCCTATAATGCTGCCTACATCCTTAAATAAGAGAAGAATTCTGATTTTTATAATTAATTAATAATTGTAATTTTAAGGAATAAATCAGAATTACAATTTGTAATTTGTATTTTTAAAGAACAAAAAATCAGAATTCTGTATTACAATTTTTTATTAGAAAATTCTGACTTTAAAAATCAGAATTTTATATTTTTATAAGAAAATTCTAATTTATTTTTTCTTTATTATATGAAAATTTTGATTTTGTTTTAATAATTCAGATTTCTACTTGTGTTAATTTTAATTTAAAAAATGAGGATTTAAAATCAGAATTATTTATTTGTTTTTAAACCAGAATATTTAAAAGCAGAATATTCTGAATTCTCAATTTTATATTTAATAAAAATTCTGATTTAATTCGAGTTAATTTTAACACATTAAAAATCAGAATTTTTATTTTTAAAACCAGAATATTTAAAAAAGGATGTGTTTTGCATATACATTTTTATTTTCTTTCGATTTTATTAAAATTCTGATTTTGTTTTTAATAAAATATTCTGGAATATTATTTGCATTCGTTAAAATCAGAATTATTAATATAAAATCAGAATTATTTAAATCAGAAAAATAAATTCTGATTAAATTAAAATCAGAATTATTTAAGTACCTTCCCCTGCATTAACATTCTGACTGTCAGAATTACATTATCCTTTTGTTGGGGTGTTTCTGTTGAATTATTTATTGTATTTTCACTGGAGGGAGGGGAATTATTATTAATTTTAATATCAGAATTTTGAGGAATTAATGTTTTTGGGGATGAATAAAATGAGGAAATAAATTTATTATTTTTATTATTATTTTTATTAATTTCCATTGAAGATTTTGTAGTAGTTGATGGATAATTACACAGAAATGAGGAAAAAAAATTAATTTTATTTTTGTTTAAATGATTATTTTGTGGGGTGGTGGAATGCATTTTTATTTTTTTATCAATTTTCTTTAAAATAAAAAATATTTATTTATTTAAAAAAATGTTTTTTGAAGTGATAAGAATTTTGGACTGGAAATATTGGGGGAGTCGTAGGAGAAGCGAATTTTGAATTAAAGAGTGTGATATTTTAGTATTAAAGAGGGGAATTTATGAAATTAAGTAACACTTACTCTTAATATTTTTGTGGGTTTAAAGAAGGGTAACACCTCGAGACTCTGGGGCCGGGTGTGTCGTAGATTGGGGTTTGCCGGGAAGGGGATGTCAGTGTTTGGAGTCGGGGTTGACTTTTTTTGGGTACAACTTTAGTTTAAAAAATTATTTTAAATTAGTACAGATATTTTTTAAGACACTTAACAGGTAGGGTTGAGGAATTGGAAAGGTGGTGGAACATAAAAAATAAATTTCAGATTTTGGGGATGAGGAGGACTTTGAAATGGCATGACTTGAAAACTACCGGTTTCGGAACTCGAGACGGTAGGGATCTCCTTTGTCCTTGCTTTTACTATTTTTGTAGGCTTAAAAAATATTTTAAATTAAAGTGGATATTTTTTAGGAATTTTTTAAGCTTGCAAAACTGGAAAAAATTGAAAGAAACTAAAAAATAAAAAATTAAATTGGCAAATTAATGACTAAAAATTGGATAAAAAAGTAAAGAAAAATGCTCAATTTGGAAATTTGGTAGAAAAAAGTAAAAAGAAATGAAGTTTAATGGCTTAACAACACATTGCTGTGTCCCTCAATTTATTTCTCAATCCTTTAAAAAATTTTGTGGAAAAGTAATAAAATTTAAAACAAAATGATAAAAATAAAACGATTAAAAATATATTTTTTGATAAGAAAAAAATTTAAAAAATGTATTATTTAGAAAGTGACTGAAAAAAGTAACTAAAATAGGAGGTTATTAAATTTAAAAATTAGTAAAAAAATATTTTAGGGGTAAAATGTCTCATTATGTAGATGAGGGAGGTGGACGACGATTCAATATCGTCGATTCAGTATTTAGACCATATTATGGGCCATAACTTTTGTAGTGCTTGAACCATTTAAATAATTATTATATCAATCGAAAGTCCTAAAAATAATTCTCAATTTTTGGGAATCGAAACGGCTATATCCCTAAATTAGGGTTTCTTTCGGGCCGAACAGACTGAGTCTTTTTGGGCCAAAATTCGGACCGGAGAAGGCCGACCGACAACCCTATCCCTAATAAATATATATCGTCAATTCAGTATTTAGAGGACGATTATATCGTCGATTAATTAAATTTTATGATACCCATAAACCCTCCTAAAATTCCAGAAAAAAATTTTAAAAAATTCCAAAGTGTATTTAAGTGCAAACAAAAAACAAATAAAATAACAAAAAAAGCAAAAAGAAATTATATATTTTTTTATAAAAAATAAAATTAGGAGGAAATGAGAAAAAAAGATGATTGAAAAATGAGAAGACAGATGATGCGGTTTTTAATTTTTAAAAGTTGAGGGTTTGAAAAATAAAAAGTAAAAGTTTTTTGTTTATTTATTTTGCAATTAAACGGTAATTTAAAATTTTAAAAATAAAAATAAAAACTCAATAAAGCCCCCCCCCCCATTAACCAAATTAATTTGAAGTTTTAAATAGTGGGGTCTAAACTAGAATGGGAGAACCAATCAAATGATTGATAATTATTTTTTGACTATTTGATCAAAATAACAAACAGGTTTAGAGGGAAATAGGGGATTCATGTAAATGTAATGGCGGATTCAAGTACTTGAATATTGGATTCAATAAAGGATTCAAGTACTAAATATTTGATCAAAATAACATATGCATATAGGTTTAAAGGGGAAAAGGGGGGTTTTAGAGGTATGTGATTCAAGTATTTAAGTAAATTTCGGGGACTTGAATTCGGTTTTATAAATTTTCTGATCCCTAGTTTTAACTCAAAGTTAATTTATAATTTAATTTAATTTTGAAGAAATTATAATGTTTGGAGCTTTAGAGAAAATAATATTTTAAGTGACTCCTTAATTTAAATTATAATCAAATTAAAATTAACTCTAAAATTTAATTATTAAAACATACAAAGAATTTTTGGGCTTCAAATGTCATCAAAATATAAAAAAATCATATATTTAATTTAAACTTCCCAATACTTTCCTATCTTGTTTTTTCCCCAATTTTTGTCCTCAATCAACAAACATTCTCTCTCTCCCGTCCATTCATTTGCGCTCCTTTATTTACAAATTTTTTTGTTTTCCCTCTCATTTCTACCTTTGAAAGTCGCATAAAAGCATCCCTCAAGAGCTTATTTAACCACAAAGCTTAAAAAGAAATGAAGTGTTTTAGTACAAAATTATACAAAAAATGATCAAATATTGAGTGGAATGAATAGAAAAATTAATTTGAAAGAAATAATTTTGGGGAGAATAAAGAGAGAATGAGAGGGGAATTGTGGGAGTGTAGGCAAGTTTGGGCCTTATAACTTTAGTAAAAATGAATTTTTAAAATTTGTAATTGACATTATTTGATAGAGCAGAAAATTTGCTATTAAATAAAATTTAAATGATAAATTTTTGTTAATTAGGAGAAAAGTTATGACGAAAAACTGACCCAAATTTAATAAAATATGAAGCATTTTTGACGGTTTTTTGGTCATAACTTTTTTTGTAGTGAACCTATATTTTTGATTTTTAGCTCATTTTGTAGCAAATTTAATTCCCTATCGAATGATATAAAAATATTTAAAAAATGTTGGACCTCTAAAGAGTTATCAATTCCCGAAAACGGCAAGTTCGCATGTGTATGTTAAGGTAAGAATAATATACATGCGGTTTTTTGGTCATAACTTTTTTTGCAATGAACCTATAATTTTGATTTATAGCTCATTTTGTAGCAAATTTAATTCTCTATCGAATGATGTAAAAATATTTAAAAAATGTTGGCCCTCTAAAGAGTTATCATTTTCCGAAAACGGCAGGTCCGTATGTGTATTTTGAGGTAAATAGAGAGAAATCTCTCCCTCCTATCGAATCTTTACCTCAGAGTTTGTACAAGCATTGAGGTTGTTGGTTAAATAAAGGCCCCAAAAAGCGAGAAGCTTTTTCCCAATCTTTCTCTATAGCTTACAAACCCTGGTTGTCATCAACATTCTGTCAGTCATCTGCTCGATTTGCTTGCGATAAGAGCGCAAACAAATAAAAATATATAAAAATACCAACAGAAAAGCATTGTATATTTTTACTAGAAGAAAAAAATTGGGAATAGTTGGGGGCTAGTTGGTGGGTAAAAAATATTATTTTTATACAAATAATGAAAGGGAGAGAAAGAAGAAATTTTTTGGTCAAAAAATTAAAAAAAATATTTTTTAAAGAAATATAATTTTATTTTTGAATAGATTATTAACATAAAAATAATATTTTTGATTTTTATCAATTTTTAATTGAAAAAAATTTTTTGGAGAGAAAATTTTGGAGAAAAAAAAGTATCGAAAAATTAATTTTAATAAATTTAGGAGGAAATAAATTAAAGAAAAAATATGGACAAAATTATTATAGCTCTATATAAATTTTGAAATCATAATTTAAAATTTGTATTAATTAGGTATATTAATTAGGGTTGCCAAAATGGACCGACTCGGACCGAAAGATCGAGACGGGCCTAGATGTTTGGCACGAAAAATACTCGTACCGGCCCGACTCGATAAAATGAAGACAAAAAAACGCCTCGACCGTCGGCCCAACTCGGAAACGGCAAAAGTTGTTAAATCAGAATTGATAAATTCTGAATAAATTAGATTCTGAAATTAATTTTACAATTCTGATTTATAATTTAATTTTGTACTTCAGAATTTTTATGTTTTATTTTGTCTTATTAAATTCAGAAATTAGTATATGGTAATTTTTATTAGCTTAAATTTATTTTAAAAATCTTTGCATAAAATTCCAAAAAATGCCAATTGCAATTAGTTAAACAAAGTTTAAAAAATTTTAATTTGGACAATTTACTTTTCTGGTTTACCCCAAATTTTATGTAAACAAAAAAAGTAAAAGTAACACGTTTTTAGCTTAATTTGTTAGCAATTGGCACGCTAAGAAAATATATTGGATGGAAAAAAAGTTAATTTGAAAATATTTATTTATGTAAATACACAAAAATAATTTGGAAAGAATTTGGAAAGAAATTCAATTGAAATTAAATTATATTCTGAATTTTTTAAAAATTGCAAATCAAAAATTCTGATAAAATAACTGTAATTATGTGTTATTATAAGTTTTTACAAATCAGAATTTATTTTACTTAAGTTTGTAAAATAATTCTGGTCTTAAAAACTTAATTACTAAAAAGAAATTCTGATTTATATAAATAAAACGCAAGTTTTACAAATCAGAATTTTGCTTTTGTAAAACTTTACTTGAAAAAATAGAAATTCTGATTTGTAAAACCTGAATTGTATAAATCAGAATTTCTGTTTAATTTACAAATCATAATAGTACAAATCAGAATTTTTTATTTTCAATTACTTTCAGAATTACAAATCAGAATTTTTTTTGTAAAACTTGAAGAAAATAAAAATTCTGATTTGTCAAACTTGAGTGGTATAAATAGGGGTGGGGGGTGGTTTATGAACAAAGTACAAGAATTTCTGTTTATTTTATAAAGCATATTACAAATCAGAATTTTTTATTTTCAATTAACTTTCAGAATTACAAATCAGAATTCTTTTTAATTGTTTTTTAAATTAATCAGAACTTTTTTAAATTACAATTGTAAATTAAATTAATTATTTTGTTTACCTTACATTATAAAATAAATATAAATAATTTAAAAAATTAAATAAAAATAAAAGTGAATTGATGAACAAAAAATTGAAATGTGAGAAAATCTACTTTTTAAGTCGTCCAAAAACATAGGGCCAAATAAAAAAGAAATGAAAGAAAATGAAAATTTATTTTTTAGGGTAAGAAATGTAGCCGTGAAATGAATGGCATAGAGAGAAGGGTAATTTAAGGAAGAAAAAATGAGGAGGAAGGAGGAAAAGGTTTTAAGACCATCCTCTCCTCCAAGTAAATAAAAATGAAATTTGAGAATATTAGCAATTTTTTGTTGTTTTGTTAAATAAATATAGTGGTGTCAATAACTGACAAACCTTTATATGTAATATGTAATAAATGTAAAATAAAAAATTTTTTATAAAACAGAAGTATTTGAGAAAAATCAGAATTAAAATTATTATTGGATTTTTAATGAAGAAAGGGAATAATCAGAAATTAATTAATAAAAAAATCAGAAATTGTAATTCATTTTATTTTAAATTAGAATTTACAATTCTTAAAATATGTATATCAGAATTTGTATATTGTCTAAATATTTAAAAATCAGAAATTGTAAAAATCAGAATTTTATTTAATTTTTACATTTAAAAAATCAGAATTTGTAATATTCATCTCTGTTATCACACTATATAAATTCTGAAAATCAGAATTTGTAATTTATTTTTACAAATCAGAATTTCTTAATTATTTTCAAGATTACAAATCAGAATTTAAAAAAATCAGAATTTGTAATTTATTTTTACAAACCAGAATTCACTGTTTATTTTCTTGTTTACAAACCATAATTTTAAAAAATCAGAATTTGTAATTTATTTTTACAAATCAGAATTCCTTATTTATTTTCAAGTTTACAAATCAGAATTTTAAAAATAAGAATTTGTAATTTCTTTTTACAAATCAGAATTCCTTATTTATTTTCAAGTTTACAAACCAGAATTTTAAAAAATCAGAATTTATAAATTATTTATACAAATCAGAATTTTTTATTTATTTTCACGTTTACAAATCAGAATTTAAAAAAAAATCAGAATTTGTAATTTATTATATTAATATTCATCCCTCTGTATATCAATATTTAAAAAATTATCCATCCCGCTAACAAAAGCAGCAGAATTTCAAGAGCAGTATCTCTCCACTTACTTTCTGGTCATCAATCCGGATATATAATATTTATTTATGATAATTTAAGTACAAAAAACAAAAAATTTACTTTCATAGTACGTTAGGCACTTAAACAACCACAAAAAAATATTTTTTAACTGGACTATGAGAGAGAAAGTAATACATCTTTTCTCTTTATTTTTATTTATTTTTTGCTAATTTTCCCCAATAATTTTTTTTAAATCTTCATTGTCTTCCTCTTGTTCTTCAAAAACAATATTTACTTAAATTTCATATAATCTTCTTTATTTCTTTTTTATTTTTTTAAAAATTGTCTGTTGCAAAACTTAACCAAAAACCAAAAAAAAACATAAAAATAAATAAAAAAAAAACAAAGATAAGAAACAATAGTATTTGTGTGAAATGTACTTGTAGTTTAAGCAATAATAATACATAAAAGCCTGGAAAACTGTTAGTACTTAAATATTCTTCAAAATATTTATTAAAGCAACTAAAAAATGTTTAGGATACAATTTTAGATGGTTTACAATTTTTTCTGATTTTTTAAAAATATTTTTCTAAGTCGTTTTAACCCTATATAATAATCAGAATTGTGGATTTGTTCATTAATTCTGTTTTGAATAAATAGTTAAAATCAGAACTGTATTTTTTTGTATTTTCGTTTTAATTTGCTGTATTTAATTCTGATTTGTAATTAAATAAAACAGAATTATATAGATATATTAAGATCAGAATTTCTTTAAAATCAGAATTTCTTTAGAATCAGAATTTTTTTAAGATCAGAATTTAGTAACCATTATTTCTAAACAGAATTATTCCCAATTATAAATCAGAATTTAATCAGAAGTTTTTAAAAATTATTTATCAGAATTACTCTTAAAATCAGAACTAAACAATTAATCTAAAACCAGAATTATTTTTAAAATCAGAATTAAATAATAAAAAATCAAAATTCTTTATAATTAAATTAATCAGAATTATTTTTATAATTATAATCAGAATTAAATTTTAAAACCAGAATTTAATTATTAAAACCAGAATTATATATAGAAATTTAGGCAATAATAGTAGGTATTATTGTGGCCATTAATTTAAAAATTTTTAATTAATAAAATCATATTTAATTTTTAATTTAGGACCTCCTCTAATTTAATATATTTATGAAAATACAAAAATAATAAATTTAAATTAATTATATTTTCTCAAAATGTTTACTCATCATCTCCACTTTCTTCTCGTTTTGCTCCTATTAACAACCCCTCCTGTATTGCCACAATTTGGAGGCCCCCAGTTTGGAGGCCCTCCTCTAAATGCCCCTCCCAACAATGCATTCCCCCCTATTGGAAATAATTTGGGAGGAGGAGGATTCCAATCAGATCCGTGTGCTGCAATGTGCGGCGGTCCGAATATGGGGAATTCAATACAACATCAACAACCTTTACAACAATTTGCTTTAATGCCCCCTAATGGACAACAAATGCAACAGAGGGATGAAAGATGTTAGTGTTTAATTAATATTTAATTGTCAGAATTCTGATTTTAATTCTGGAAAAATCAGAAAAATTATTATAAATAAATCAGAATTCTGATTTTTTAATTCCTAAAAATCAGAATTCTGATTATAATTTTAAAACTGAGAGAAAGCAGAAGGATTGTTTTTAAAAAATCAGAATTTTTTTTTATAAAAATTCTGGTTTTTCAATTCTGGTGAAATCAGAAAAATTGTTTTTAAAAAATCAGAATTTTGAATTTTAATTCTGAAAACAATCAGAATTTCTTTGAATAAGAATTCTGATTTATTAATTCTGGTGAAATCAGAAAAATTATTTTAAAAAAAATCAGAATTCTGATTTTAATTTAAAAACAGGTTGTTGCTGCTGTTGTCCTCCGCCTCCACCACCCCCACCAATGATGGCACCTCCACAAAGACCTCCATGCTGTGTAATTTGTTGTTGTGAACAACAAGTAAATATTTTAAATAGGGTTACTCTTGCTTATAAAATAAAAAATTTTTTAAATAGGAACCACCACCAATGCCTCCACCAATAATTTTGCAGCCACTACCACCACCACCCCCTCCTCCCCCACAAAGTGAGTAAAATTATTTTTTTTTGATCCTCAAAAATTATTTTAAGTTTGCCTTCTTTGCTGTTGTGAACAAGCTCCCCCTCCCCCACCACCACTTCCACCACCCCCTCCTCCACAGCCTTGTTGCTGCTGCTGTCCATGTTGCTGTTGTTGTCCCCCACCACCTCCACCACCAATGCCCCCTCCAATGCCGCCGCCTCCTCCTCCACCTTGCCCTTGCTGTTGTTGTTGCTGTCCTCCAGGTGAGTTTTATAATAAAATGTGAATCTTCTGATTTTGGATATTCTGATTTTTGAATATTCTGATTTTTGAATATTCTGATTTTTGAATATTCTGATTTTTGAATATTCTGATTTTTGAATATTCTGATTTCTCATATTCTGATTTTTAAACAAAAATTCTGATAAAATTATTTATTTCAGCACCCCCGCCAATGCCTCCACCAATGCCACCTCCACCACCACCACAGCCTTGCCCTTGCTGTTGTTGCTGCTGTCCTCCACAACAACAACAACTTCCACCACCGCCACCACCTCCATGCTGCTGTCCTTGCTGTTGTTGTTGTACTATACAGTCACATTCACAACAACCACCTCATTTTGGTGGTGGATTTGGAGGAGGGTTTGGAGGTAGGAGAATATTACTTTATTTAACTATAATAATAATTCTGATTTTTACCAGAAATTCTGATTTTTCATATTTTCCAAAAATTCTGATTCTGATTTTATTAAAAATTCTGATCTTCTGATTTTTTAACAAAAATTCTGATCTTATATTTTTAAAAAATTCTGATTTTTACCAGAAATTCTGATTTTATCAAAAATTCTGATCTTATATTCTTCCCAGAAATTCTGATTTTAATTAAAATTCTGATCTTCTGTTTCTTACCAAAAATTCTGATTTTTAACAAAAAATATCAATTTAAGGAGGAATGCCACCTCCACCACCACCATTCGGCGGGGGAGGTATGATGCGTCCACAACAACCATCATGTCCCTGCTGTGGAGGAGGAGGATTTGGAAAGCGAAGGAAGCGTTTAGTTGATTATTTAAATAATAAACAAAATTCGACTAATTTTTAAAAAATTTTTAAAAATTTTATTATTGTTAAAAATGATTTTTTAAATAATAAAGAGTAATGAAAGACACGTAATTAATTTTTAAAATTTAAAATATTTAAAAATAAACTAGTTGAACTATTTATTAAAATAATTTCTTGTTAATTTTCTTCTAATTAAATTATCAGTTGGCACCAATACACAAACAAGTCTTTCTACAAAATAAAAATTTGGTTGCCTTGTTTATTTCGCAAAATCCTCCTTAAATATTAAATTTTAAAAATTCAAAAAATTTTTTTTTCTAAGTCACCCCTAGCCCATTCAGTGCATAAAAGTTCCCCTCTGTCATCTACTTCGTGTTCACAGTCAAAAATGTAGGGAGTCCCTTAAATTAGTTTTAAAAAATAATTAAATTAATTAACAACATCTTTGAAAAGCGGCTGTTGTCGTTTTTAATGGAGAAGCTTAAAAGGAGAAAAATATAATTAAGGAGAAGCTTGAAAAAAGAGAAAATATAATTAATAATGTTATTATTTAATAATTAATAAAAAATCAGAATTATTAAATTTAAAATTATAAATTCTGATTTTATATTTAAGTAGAGTTTAAAATAAAATTCTGATTTTTAAAAGTCTGATTTCTAGAATTCTGCTTATTAGAAAATTCTGATTATTAAAAAATTCTGATTATTAAAAATTCTGATTAGATAAATTCTGATTCTTAAAATTCCGATTTAATAAATTCTGATTTTTAAAGTCTGATTTCTAGAATTCTGATTATTAAAATTCTGGAAAGTAAAATTCTCATTAAATAAGTTCTGATTTTTAAAATTCTGATTATTATTTACAAACAAAAATAATTCTGATTTATTAAACATTTGCCTACATATTAAAAATAAAATTCAAAAAATTCTGCAATGAATTCTGAAAATATACATGATGCAATAACACACAAAATTCTGATTTTTAATTATTTATTAAATACCTTCACGTTCTGTAGTTGTCCCCACTAACCCTAATTTATTTTTTAAATGCATCGGTTTTGCTTTGGGTGCTACGGGCTCTTAAGAATAAATTTTTTATTAAAAAATATTTTTTTTCAACTTGTATTTTCTTCATCTTCTGAAATTTTATTTTCCGAATTTTCAGTTAATTCGTCATCTATGGCAGAAAAAAATTCTGTAGCCTTCCCATCATTATTTAAATTTTTTCTTGTTGATTTTCTCTTAGATTTGCCTTCATTATTAGTTAATTCTTCCATTTTTATTCCGTTTTGGCGGGTTTTTAGATTTTTCTTTTTTGTGTTTTCGTCTAGAAAAAAATTTTTTTTTGATTTTTTCTGGAATTTTAAAAGTTAAAAAATTTTCTGAAAATTTCAAAAATTTTTTGAAAATTTTTTTGAAAATTTTTAAAAAATTTTTTTGAGAATTTTTAAAATTTTTTGAAGAATATTTTTTAAATTTACTTCGTGTTTCTCTCGTTTCATCACAATTAACTGCTTGTGTTTTATTTCTAATATTTTCACGTTTTTCAACGGATATGTCTTTATCATTTTCTAACTCACTTTCTTTTGCTTCTTTTTTGTCAATTTGGGTTTCTTCTGTTTTTTCAAATTTTGTTTTGGTTTCGGCTGAATTTTCTGACTAAAAAATTTAAACTTGGATTTAAGAATCCTTATCTTTTTAGTTAAATTTCATAAGTATAAATATTTAGTGTTAGAAAAGGGTTCATTCTTAGTATTATAAAGAGATTCTGTTGATTTCCAGAGTGAAAATAGACATAGGATTGTAAGGGATTTGATCTTGAAATCCTTCCTATGGATGGTTGTTAACCTCCGAACGATCACACCACATACTAATCTTTCATTTTTGCTATTATCTACTAGGCTGAATTGTTTTGTGAATTTTTTTTCAGAATTGTAAATCCGGGACGCCCTGCTAGGTTCGATTCAGCTCGTCGAGGCGCATCGAACCATATCAGGGCGTCCCGGATTTGACAATACTGAACGAAGTTAGCTCTGTGGTAAGTTGGGCCTGCTCCCAAGAAAATCCCGTTTTTTAATTTTAATGAAATTTCAAAAATTTAAATTTACCTCTCTTTTCCTTTCCTCATTAGAAGTATTTATTTCCTTCTTTTCTTCACTCAATAATTTTCCTTCCTTCTCCTCTTCCCTTCTTTCAACTATTTTCTTCTTCCCTTCCTCATTTTCAATTTTCTCCTTTTCGCTACTTTCATCCTTCTTTCTTTTTTCCAATTTTTCTTCCGATTTTTCTGTCCTTTCCACAGATTTTTCTGATTTTTCCACAGATTTTTCTACTTTTACCTCCACAGATTTTTTATTTAAATTTTCTTTTTTAATTTCTTTTAAATTTTCTTCTTTTGAATTTACTACTTCTTTTGAATCCCTTTTCAGTATTTCTTCAGATCTACTTCCTCTCCTTCCACCTTTATGCTTTCCAGTTCTATATGATATTGGACTGGGTAAAAGTGATATTGGACTGGGTTGGTCTTAATAGGGTTCTCTCTCTTCCCCCTTTGCTTCTGTTTGAGTTTATACGGTTCGGGTTCGGATATACAGATATTTTCCTAGAATATTTTCCATACTACTCAATATGTCTGAGACCCAGAACAACCCTAACCTTAGGCCATCGCCATAAAATTGGCAAGGGATTGGATGGGAATTGATCCTGAGAGCTCTCCGATTTAAGATTTTTAACCCCACTCAACTATCCCACCACCGACTAAGTTTTTCATTTGTGCTTAAATTGCTAGGCCCTAGGATGAAACTTCTCCGATCTTACAATAATACCTTTCTCTAGATTCTGAAGATCCCGATCTTCTCTTTTCTTTAGAGTGTCTCCTCTCTTTCGAGTGTCTCCTTTCTTTTGATCTACTTCTATGCCCTTCCGAAGATCTCGATCTACTCCCATGATGATGTCTTTCTCTAGATTTCTTTCCTTTCCTTCCATGTCGTCTTTCTCCAGATCTAACCTCATAAGACCTCGATCTCGACCCTTTCCGATGTTTCCCTTTACGTTTTTCTAAACTCTTCACATCTTCTTTGACTGTTTCTATTCGAGTTTCTTCCTTTTCTGCGTCCTTTTCCGTGTCCTTTTTATTTATTTCCTTTAATTTTGATTCGCTAATTGAAGTGGATATTGTCACTTGTTTTAATTCTTCTTCAGTTTCACCTGATTCTTTATTTTTTGTGGTGTTTGTTGGAAGCTTTAGTTGGTCAAAATCTGAAAGAAATTTTTTGTTAAATTAATTTTTTCATTCATTTCCTCCCCGGACAGTTACCGAAAGGAACTCGGGCAGCCTTCTAAGGTCAATGAATCTTCCTACATACTACCTTAGGTAATGACTGATGGGTGAGAGACTCCAGTCACTTGATTTAATGACCCGAGAGAGACTTTATCTTCTGATTAAAAATAGAATAAGCTCGATTCTTTTGGACTCCTCCTTCCTCCTCCTTTTCTATGACTTCCTCCTCCTTTTCTTTTAATGGAATTCAAACTTCCACCTCCACTTGATCTATTTTTTTTAGAAAAAGGAGATTCAGAGGGAGGTGGAAGTTTTGAAATCAGAAAAAAGGAGATCAGATGGAGGTGGGTACTTTGGGGAGCATAAACGCTTAACAATAACTGCCAGGAGGATTTCCCTTTTATCTCCCTCATTTTCCCCCTTTTTTCTTAAACAAAATTTAGTACCCCAATATTTATTTCCTTTAGGTGAGCTTGTTGTTCTTGAGTTAATTACTTCCTCCTCCTTTTCCACCCCAGCAGTAGTCCTTCCATCATTTTTTAAACTTTCTTCTTCGTTGTCAATAATTGAAGAATTTATTTTTGGAGCTAATTCACTAGTTAATATTGTATTATTTTCTTTTTCAATCAAATTAGGGTCCAAAATTTTATTTTCGTTATCATTTCCCCCAATTTCAGCATTCCTTTGTTTTTCTATTTTTTCTTCCTCCTCTTTTTTCTCTTTTCGTTTACGGCATTCTTTTAAAAATTAAATTAAAATTTAAAAAATTATTTAAAAATCAGAATTGAATTAAAAATTACTTCTTTTAGGCTTCTTTGTGCTTGCTTCATTTTCAGAATTTTCTTCCTTGTTGTCAGGCAAAGTTGATGTTTCCTCCTCTATTTCCTCCTGTAAGGTTGTAGCCTCTATAGCTGGCCTTTATATAAATTTAGAAATTTAAAAATCAGAACTTCTAATTTTATAAAATCAGAATTGTAATCAGAATTAATTTTGTTTGGAATTAGAAATTATTTGACAAGCAGAATATGAAATAAATTAAAATTCAGAGATAATTTAAATCAGAATTTTATTTTCTTTAATGTCAGAATTTTTAAAAATCAGAATTTCTATATTACTTAATTTAAATCAGAATTTTATCAGAATCAGAATTAAAATTAAATCAGAATTATTAAAATCGGAATTTTATAAAATCAGAAATCAGAATTTTAAAAATCAGAATTTCTATATTACTTGATTTAAATCAGAATTTTTAAAAGCAGAATTTTTATTACCGATTAGAATTTTAAAAATTAGAACTAGATTGTCTCTTAGTATTTCAGAATTATTTTGAAATTAAAAATCAGAATATTACCTTTTTGTTATTATCTCCTCTTTTAATTCATCATTTATTTTTTCACTTTCTTTACTCGAAGAAAAAGGTTTCAATGATTTTTTAACAACAAAATCTTCCGTTTCATTTTTTAAAAATTTAGTTCTTCCAATTTCTTCAGAAGAATGTTTATTAATTTTTTGTTGTTGGCGTTTTTTGCCTTTTTAATTTAAATATTATTTTTAAATTAAAAAACTATTTTTAAATATTTTTGGACCTCGCTATAAAATATACAATACGGAATTAAATTTTTAAAATCAGAATTTTTATTTTTTGAAAGCAGAATTAAAAACAGAATTAATTTAAGATCAAAATCAAAAATTATTTCAAAATTAGAATTAATTTACATCAGAATTGTATTAATATTTCGAATTTTCGAAAGCAGAATTTTATATTTCTCATTATTTTTCTAGGTTTATTTTAAATTTGGTTAGCCTCTAGAGGGTGGCGGATCCAAGGCGTTAACTAACCACAATTTAATAAAACCTCCTCCTACTATGATAAGATTTTTTCTACCTGAAGTGGGTATAATTAGGTCAGATTTAATTTTAAAATTTTAAAAATTCAAAAAATTTGTTTACTTTCTAAACGTGCTTTACATATTCTGTCTTCTTCATCTTCCTCTTCCTGTTCTTTTACTTCTTTTGATTTATTCTGATTTATTTCTATATCCCCTCGAACTCGAGTTACTTTAGAAAATAATTTTAAAATATTAAATAAAATTCAGAAAACACACAGTTAGGTAAAGATCTCTCAACAGAGGACCTCTCAAAACTAGCAACACTGTCTACACTTGATATTAATATATTAAGTAAAATGAAAATTAAAAATAAAAATTTTTGCCATTTTAATATTAAATTATAATTTTGTTGTATGTTGAAAAGTGCATTTTGCATTTTACATAAATGCCTTTTTTCTAAAGATTTAATTTAAAAATTAATAAAAAAAATTAATTAAAAATAATTTAAAAATAGTAAATAATAGTTTTAGTATCCCACTATTCAACCTCATTGAAGGCCTTCCAACTAAAGGTGCCGAAATTGAATTTAAAAAACAATCGACGAAATACTTCCCCTAATGGGGATGGGGATTTCTGATACGCGTTTCATCCCTGATTGGAATACGAATTTTCAATTAAAGAAGGTATACTACAGGGATCGCGCAGACCCGATTCACGATTCCCGAAAATCGTGAACTACAAAAATTTCAGAACAATCCGACAACGGGAAGATAGAGAAACTCAAAAAATTCAAGGAGGGTTATACATAATTTCTTAACACTTATTTAAAAATTAGGAAAAAATTAATTAAAAACTTGAATATAATTAAATAAAACTTTTTATTGTTCCTTCAAAGTATTTTCGTTGTTGTTTCATATACATGTTTGTTTTTTTTAATTTTGTATTTTTTCTTTTTTTTATGCACCACTTTAGTGTATTTTACAATACCTGTGGTTTGCTGATAAAATAAATAAATAAAAAATAAAAAGCTTGTTATAGTATCCCTCTACTCAACCTCATTGAAGGCCTCCAACTAAAGGTGCCGAAATCTAAGTTAAAAAACGAAAGATGGGATAGTTCCCTTAATATGCTTAGTTTCGTTAGGCTTATTGAGATTTGGTCAATGAATCAGGGTGGGGATCAAGATGAATTAGTGAATATGGATGGGGCGTTTAATCCCTTGCTTGATAACTATTTTATATTTCAAGAAGGTATACTATAAAAATTGTCTGTATTACCGTAAATTATTAAAAAATTAATAAAAGTATAAAATAATTTTTCTATAGATTTGGACTGTTAAAATAAAAAAAATTCTAAATTAAATCTAATTTAGAATTGAATCGAATTTAGAATTAAAACTAATTTAGAACAAAAATATAATTTGATTAAATAATAATACATAAAAGGAATGTTATAGATTAACTAAAACTTTAATATAGTAAATAAATTTTCTTTTAATCAGATTATTTTTTAAATTAATTTTTTAGGTCGTTTTTAATGATCTTTTTTTAGCTTTTCATCACTTCCCTTCGCCTTTTCCACTTCCTTATATTACCAACCAGATCAGCTTGTCTATTAAACATTTTTGGAAGGATATTATAGTGACTAGAAAGAAAAGAGAAGTAAATAAAGTGAACCAGATATTAAAAATCAAAGAGGAAAAGCGGAACTAATAGGTAAAAAAATAAAAAAGCAATTCCAATTTATTATCGTCGCTAAAGTCAATTAATCATAAAAGTTTTATTTTTAAAGGATTTTGTACTTTTAAGGTTATGGAACCAAAAAATATTATTTATTTTCTGTGAAATATGTTTATACATTAGAAATTTTTGTTTAATCTGGTTCAACCCTTAGGACCTAAATTGAACCAAAATTACACAAATAGCGCTTAAAAATTAAAAAAAACATTGACGTTGATTCATGATTTCGACTGAGGACCTTGACCAGAATCGTTGCCTTTAAGTCAAGTAAAATCAAGGAACAAGATCGAAAACAGTCAAACCAAAAAATTCTTTGATCTTGACTCTGAAGCCGTTAAAAATCAAGACTGTATCCAGATCGCAGGCTGATTTATACACACAAATATTGGTCAAAATTCCCATATTAATCAATCAGTTATTAAATAATATTTATGATTATTTATTAATAAATAAAACTGGTTTGAGCTAAATATGCTTACCGTATTTCCTCAAATAGTACGGCCGGCCGTACTATTTTTCAACCCTCTTCCAAAGGGCCGTACTATTTGAGGGGGCCGTACTAATTGAGGGGGCCGTACTATATTTCAACCATCCTTCGAAATTATCTGAGATCTCCAACAAGCCTTATCTCAGTTTTTAATTTGTAATCTTTGCAATTCGGTTAAATTTAACCCTCTTTAATCTTCTTCCGTTCTCTATTCCTATACCAAAATATCCCAGAATCCAGACTCATGCACTTAGTTGTTATGAATTATCAATGGATTTGATGAGATTTAGGAGAGATATCGAGGAATTTCCCTGAGATCCATCCAAATCCTCGGATATTTCTTCTAATCCCGCTTAATCCATCAAATTCCCTCGATATCCTTCCAAAACACTGATATGGATTAAGAGAAATTTAGGTGAATTAAGAGTGATTTGAGTGGATATCCGAAGATTTAATTGAATATCTGAAATATTCAAGGATTTGGACGAATATTAGGATATCTGGGGTATTCGATATTTATAGGAATTATGAAGGATTTCTTGTGGGAAAGTAGATAAAGATGAGGATTGTTACTATAATTCGAAGAGCAAATTTTGTAATATTTTTTATATTTTTAAATGGGGGCCGTACTATTTGGGGGGCCGTACTAATTGAGGGGGCCGTACTATTTTTCAACCCTCATCTAAAGGGCCGTACTAATAGAGGGGGCCGTACTAATTGAGGGGGCCGTACTATTTGAGGAAATACGGTATTTTATTTATTTTATAAAGAAAATTTTTTTTTGAGATATTTACTTTAGACTATATAAAGAATCTATATAAGTGACAATTCTAGAGATTATCAAAATAAAATTCAGAATTAATATGAAAGGTTAAGCAAAATTTTCTGTCTAATAGACATTATAGCATCTATTTATTTATTCTCGAGTTTTAAATTATCGGTCAATATAATTTTTATTTGATATAATCAGTCAGCAATTAATAACAATCAGAAGATTAACATTTTATTTTAGTACAATTATTTGTATTATTATTTGTATTTTTAGTACAATTCTTATTATTTTCAATCTTTTTCTTAATCACAACAGCCTTATATCCCAATTTTAATAAAGCTGTGAATTTGGGCGCTAGCCATTTGACTGTTGACACCATAAAATTGGCACGTCTTTGAACATTTCTGGAAAGGGAGAAAAAGAATTTTTAAAATTTTTTTCGAGTTTTCTAATTAAAATTTTCAATTAAAAAAATTTTAAAATTAATAATTAAACTACATTTCTTCATCATTTAAATTATTTTGTGTTGTAATCGTTAAAATAATATTTAAAATGATTTTAAAAAAATTTTAAAATTAATATATAAAAATTTTAAAAATAATATAAAATTAATATAATGTTTATATATTTTGTCTAAAAATAATATTTTCATTAAAATTTTGTTTAAATTATTTTTAAATAATAAAAAATTAAAAATAAAAAAATATTTTTTTCAAAAAGTCAGGTTTTATTTAATTGAAGAAACAATGTACATATTATTGTTTTTAATTTTTAAATTAATTAATTGTTATTTGTAACAATTTATTAGGACACATATAAATTATATTAATAATAAAATAATAAAATTGGATGTTTTTGAATATTTTTTACAATATTTTGTCTAAAAAATGAATAAATGTTTAATCAGGGCTCTCATTCGTACTTTATTTGAAAGTACAGTACTTTAAAATCGACCTCCGTACTTACAAAATTGAATTTGTACTTTATTGAAAGTATGTACTTTAAAATCAAAATTTTGGATTGAAAATGAAATTGGGGAAGACATTGGGCAAAAAAGTAATTTATTTGGCCTATGGCCTTCGAAATTCTCAAAATTTTCGCCTGCGGCGCTGAAAAAGGAAGAAATCTGGCTTCTTGGGCTCCAAATTTCAAAAAATTTTCGCCTGCGCTGCTGAAAAAGTGAATTTTTTTGCCTACGGCCTTCTAAAATTTTAAAAATTTTTGCCTGCGGCGCTAAAAATGGAAGAAATATGGCTTCTTGAGCTCTAAAATTCTCAAAATTTTCGCCTGCGGCGCTGAAAATGGACGAAAGAAAGTAGCTTGCTTGAGGTTAAGACTGTCAGGCTTTACTTCTTGTGTCAGCGAATTTTGACATGTCATGCATTGAAATGCACAAAATGCTCAGTGGAAGCAATAAATTATTAGAAAAGATTCATTTAGGAGAGAAATATAAAAGATTTGAGGACGAATAAATATTTTCGAATTTAATTTTGAGTGTACTTTAAATTTGAAAATTTTGTCCCTATGTACTTTAAAATCAAGATTTTTGTACTTTTGATTGGCATTTTGTCGATGAGAGCCCTGTGTTTAATTATGTATTGTATTCTCTCGTACGCATACACTTTGTTCCAAAATTATATCTTCACCTATTTTTTTTCTCATAACTCATCGAAAATCCAAGGAATTTTGTTAAAAATTTAAAAGTATATTTGTATTAGTAAATATTATATTAATTGTGCTAGACTTTGACTCAGCAACACAACAAAAAACATGTTTTTCTAACTTTGCCATTTTTTAGCAAATCAAAAAAATTAATTCACCCACGCGGGTTCGAACCAACGACCGTAAATAAATTTAGAAAAATAATAAAATACTTTATTTAAAATTGTAATTGGTACAAATAGCAGTAATAAGTTGTTCAAACGGGTCTATATTATTTTTTGACATTCTCTGCGCCATTGGTATTCAATTAAAGCATCTGCAAATCTATAACCAGAAAGTCGTCGTTGTCTGAACCAATCCTTTGCAGGTCTCCAACTTGCTAATTTAAAATTAAACTAATTTAAAATTTATAAGATCATACAAATAAAATGATTTTCAGGATCAGAGTGGTTGACACCTTATGACTGTATCCATGTCGATTAAAGTAGAGTAAGCACGCCATGCATCTGTTCTTATTTCGCTTCCTACTTGCCGTGCTCTTTTATAATAGGAATGAGAGTAGCTGCATCTCGAATGTTGTTTGGACAAATTATTAGTCTAAAGTCTTGTTTGTTGTTTTCAATTAATCCAATGACCCAATGTCCGACAATTCTTCTTCATCGATTATACTTTCGAGTCAGAATTTGCTTTCATCCACATAAATGATAGTGCCAGGGCGGCCAAGTTTTCCACGTTCTCGTTCTTTAAAGCAATACCAATCAAAAAATCTTTAAAAC